ATAAAAATGCGAAATTTCTTAGTTCAGTATCATGTATGGCCGCCCCGCGCATTCACCACTGCCAAACACCGTCTCTTCGACTGCCTAATGCTTGTGAACACGTTGTTGGGGATTTTGCGCCATTGCTCTTGCAAGGCAGCGCCAAGTTCCTGCACATTCTGAGGTTGGTTCCTAAGACCACGAAGCCTTCTGCCAAGTGCATCTCAAACGTGCTCTATTGGATTAAGGTCAGGGGACCTCGATGGCCAGTCTATGACGTTGATTCCAGCGTTTTGAAGGAAATTTCGTGTCAACATCGCGGTATGCGGCCGAGCATGATCACGCTGGAACTGGAAACCTGCGCCATGAGCCGCCATGAAAGGAACGAGTTCAGGAGTGAGCACCTGGTCGGGGTAAGCAGCAGCTGTGAGGTCTCCACGGATGACCAGAAGTGGGGAACGGTTGTTCCCACAGAAAGCACCCCACACCATGCAACTCCCGCCCCCGAATCTGTCGACTTCCCGTACACAACATTGGGCATTCCGTTCACGACGTCGTCTCAAGACTCTATGCCTGCCGTCTGCGAATCTGAGGGTAAACCTGGATTCATCGCTAAAGACGACTCGATTCCAGTCTCTCTGGGTCCATCGGAGGTGACGTTGGGCCCACAGCAGACGTTGACGTTGATGAAACGGCGTCAATATTGGCTCACGATATGGACGTCGAGAATGGAGATTGGCAGACTGCAACCGATGTCGAATGGTCTTCAAAGACAGTCGACCTCTAAATCTCTCAGCCCTGGTTCGTGTAGCCGGCAGAAATCTGTCACGTAGATGACGTAGGACGATTTGACGGTCTTCTGCTCGTGACGTCACACTTGGACGACCCGACTTTGGGCGATCAGAAGTGGTGCCAGTTTGTTGTAGACGACCTCGCAAGTCATACACAGTACCACGGCTGCATCCCATTGCTCTTCCAACGTCAGTAACTTATCTTCCCGCTTGCAGCATGCCAACGGCACGTTCACGTTGCATGTTTTTACAATCGTGGCATTTCAAGTACCGTTAGAACTGTGGTTTAAAAGTGTTTTTTTCAATTCTTGAGGCCAATACAACTAGATGTCAATGTGGAAAAGTTCACTGCAATTAAAAATAATAGCCTCCAAAGTCATGACACAAAATGGATATCTATATTCCCAACCTGACAATGAAAATAATCTCAGTTCGCTATTTTAATGTAAAAATGTGCATTTTTGTGTAGTTTTGAACTCTATCTAACAAACTCAAGAATGTAAATTGGTGCTCTAATGATGTACCCTTGGGAACAATAAAAACATTCTAAAAACAAAACAAACTCATTTTGGTTGTTTTATATAATATGAAAATCAAACTGCATTTGAAACGGTAAATATTGAAAACTACGTACACCAAACATACATGGACCTATGTTAAAAGCCCTCAGGACAGTGTCACAATATAAAGGTGGCTTATTTTCAGTTGGAAAACTATTCTTTCTGAACATCACGACCTTGACAACGCCAAACATGGGAGTGGTGTTATTTTGGTTTTAGGTCCCCACAGTCACTAGTATCATTATCTACCTTCAGTTGTTGGCGATCTATAGCACCTTTTTATATTCGATTGATTCAATACTATTAGTTAAACGTCATATATTTACATACTACGTGTACACCAAAACTTGTGATCTTCTAGTATTTTTTACTGTCCTTCGTTGATAGGTATTCAAAATGTGATTTGATGATATTATTTTCTTGTTTTATTCATGATTTGTCTGAAATACTACCGATGTGACTTAAAATCGTAACTCACTCATTGTTTGTTTTAGATTTCCACAGGTGTGTGCCCTTACGTGAACTGTAAATCGAACACTCGGTGTGTGAAGAGACGACGTGGTGGCACAATCTGTGTTGAGAGTAAGACTAATTTTACGATTTGAGATTGAGATACACCTTTTTTACCAACGTCTTTCACGAGACTTTGTGTTTGCTATGTAAATATAAGTAACAAAGTCCTTTCCACATCCATAAAAAACCTTGTTACACAATTCCGACAATCCGACGAGCATGTGTTTATGAATCACTACTAAAGTGATGATACCAGGTATTCTAAAAAAGGTGAGTGTATCCTGCTCAACCTAACATAAGTATATGCAAAGCTAGTCAAATGTTCACTTGCAAAAAATTGGGAATGTCAAAATGGGGAATGGCATCAAAATGACCTGTTGAAGTTTTAAGTTACGATCTTGAAATTTCCAGGCAATAAGTTGATATTTCAGGAAGTAAATAGGGAAAATGTATGGCCCCAAAAGGCTTACCTGGCCCTGACCGCACACTTGTTGGCGCAGGAGTCGTTTGACGCTCTTTAAAATCTTGGTGACAAGAGTTTGCTGGACTGTGTCTCAAAAATTGTGAAATCTAAAAGCTAAAAATGTAAACACTAAAGGCTGCAGCGGTTGGAATATATATAGCTCGACAAGAAGCGAACGTTAATCACTGGAAGGTTGAGTCATCCCTTTTGTACGGAAGCCTTTTACTGCTATTTGTTTTTATTTTGGTGTTTTTGGTGTTTTTGTTTGTGTGTTTTTTATTTATTTATTTTTTCTTGAAATTTCAAGATGCTAAGTTGAAATTATCTAGAAATCATCTCGAAAATGCCTACGGAAGCCTTTTAGAAAGGACACCTAAGGAAGCCTTTTAGGGCCAACTTACCATCTTGAAATTTCAAGAATAAAGGGGAAGAAACGATAGGCCCTGAAAGGCTTCAGCATTGAAAGACGTCCGTACTAAATGGCTTCCGCACTTTTGCGATACAAGCTTGTGAAGAGGAGTGGTTATGAATCTTTAGGCAGCGATATAAATATGAAACGAAGGAGTCTGTCCATCACTTGTCTCATTTCTTTCAAATTGAGGATGGTAATTCAGCTGGGAATTGATGGTATTTGAACTATGTTATATTTACCTGTAGCTTAAGGTAAACATCTTGGCCAAATAACCTTGTTTTATTTCACTGTGCCATGTCTCCAAGTATATCAACGCACACACGTGTAAAACAAAATTCACCAAGTATTTCTATTCTGTTTTCAGATGACTAATATAAAATAACAACTGTCAATGTCAGAATAGGTCCTTGATATTTTTTTGCGCTGAAACATTTATCACTGGTCAGGGAAAATTCAATAAATGCTTGAGTGACTCATTTAAACCGAATAGGTGTAAATATGGACTGACAACCCAAGTAGGTATTACCAATAGTTGGTATAATTTCATGTTATATATTGATACCTACTTGGATGCATTAGATCCCAGGTATAACATCTAATGAAAGGTATATAATCACTGTAACGGATGAGAAATAGTGTCACTGATTTGTGAAGTGTATATTGGCTCTAGCGTCAGCCACTGTGTTACCAGTGATTCCAGTGTAGCTCGGTAACCAACAGAAGACAATTTCGTAAACGACATTAACAAGATAGTTCTACATTTCAATAATATCAGTTAAAAGTGGAGGTTATCATGACATGCTTCAATTGCCTGAAGACACACGAGAGTATCTCAACATATTGAAGTAGCTTGCTTGGTTTGATTCAGGAAGGGATAAACGCGTGTATTCAAGAGGACTCTCCCTTTCTTGAGTGTAAAACGTTTAGTAGCGGTTACCGCCTGTTCCTTTAACTCTGTAACAATTTCTTCTTAAGACATGTCGTACAGACTACAAGCCCAGTCACAAATAATGACAAGAGTTTAATGTCCTGTGCACGGACACAACAACTTCAGTATCGGAAAATGTTTTGATTGATAACAGATTGAGAGATTGCTGTATCCGTGCACTCTCCATACGAAGCAAACCACAACGGTAACGTTCTTGAAATTCGACACAAGTTCCAAATACAGCCTTGGAGATATTAAAAGGGTATATTTTCATGCGTAGAAAATCAGCAACCTGAATCACCAGATGTTATAACTAGGAATCACGGTTTGAAGAAATAATTCCAGAGAGAACTAGATGATGGATTCAATCCAGCATAGAGTCATAGCCCAGTTCAGAGCACATCAGTCATCTGTTTATATGTTGGGGCTTTGCTGCTTGATCCCCTAAGCCATGTTAATATTCTTGGCCATTCAAATATTTCTTCTTTGAAAATGTGAGATAGAAACGTAACATATTGCTGAAATATAACAAGAATTCGTCTCCTTTAACACCTTAAATAGGAGTACCATCGGAACCTAATTCCATGTTAACACTGGAACATCATTTTTGGATTATATTTGGACACAGCTGCATCTTTATGATATATGTATTATTTTTCAATTTCACATCGTATTTTTGTATGTATATATTTCAAAGTTAGCTTTTTGTTTCAGATTGGAAATCGACACTTAACAATGTCAATGACAATGACGGAGAAGATGAGGGTGATGGCGAAGATAAGAGTAAGATTATAAATGAAGGTGATTGTGTAGTGATGCTGTGATTAAGTGTAGATTTAGATGATGTTAAAGGTTGAGAGGAGGGTGTTTTTATACATGATACAACAGTAAATGAAGAGATTTCGGGTCAGTTCTCCCTATCAAGTTTGCAAGCGCCATACAAGCGCTCTTGGATATCACCATAATGGTTGGTTGTTTAACGCTGCACTGAGGAACCTTCTATCTAGTTTGCTGCGGTCTGTAAAAAGTCAAGTCTGGACCAAAGAATCAAGTGATCAAGAGCATGTGCATCGGTCTACACAACTGAGATAGAGTGATGTGTGTTAACCAAGTCAGCGAGCATGACCACCCGATCCCGTTAGTCGCCTCTTACGACCGGATCTTCACGCGTATCCAAAATGGTACGTGCCGTATACATCCAAGACTTCAAATAACTGGAATACTGCTTATAAGAGGCGCCGCACCTCTGCCACTATAACCTGCAACATTCCATTGTCACATCTATCATCTCAAATGCGTAGATTGATGCTCATGTATTTGATCACTGGATTGTCTGGTTCAGACACGATTATTTACAGACCGCTGCCATATAACAGGAATATTGCTGAGTGTGGCGTTAAACAGCAAACCAAACAACCATCGCCACATCTGTCACCAGTTGCTTCCACTCCATAACTTCCACCTCCTGAAGCTGTGGGCAAGGTAATGGTGAATCTTGGGGTGAGTATAAAGCTGCTGAAGGTGATGGTGAGACTCTGATGAGACTCAAGTCAATTGCGAGGCCAAAGGTGTAGATGAGAGTTTGGGTGAAGTGGAGGTATCACATGAAAGCCTGGATTTAATTAATGGGAAGATGTATAGACGTACGTGGTAGATGTTCAAAATTGTGTTTTTTTGCCGGAGCTATTAGCGACCAGTCCATTCCGTTCTAGTTAGCCTTAATACATGTGTATATTTTTCTGAGAAATATTTTTGGTGATAGATTCACATTTTATGTACAACAGGTGAGACAACCCGCACAAGTGACAAAGGCATTAACCCTCTTGAATCCAGATGCTCAACTAATACTGACTGTCCAGCAGACAGGAACTTTGTGTGCTTTAAACAGACCTGCAAGTGTGTACCAGGGTACAGTTTCAATCCCGCCAACAATAGCTGTGTGAGACGTAAGTCAGTCTTGTAGGGACATTCTTTATGTAGTAGCGGTCCAAACCGTATGCCAACTATGAAGGTTTGGGTTAGTCTTCAGCAACCCATGCTTGTCGTAAAGGCGACTAACGGGATCGGGTGGTCTGGCTTGCAGACTGTATATTTTGTATAGTAACTGCATGGATCGATACTCACAATGTTGGTCACTGGATTGTCTGGGCCAGGCATTAACCAGGGTGCGATCTTAACTTCACGGTTCAAACTCCCCTACTTGAAAGTTTTTAAGATCAGTAGTAAGATCTATTTGCACTAAATGGGCCTGAGTCTCTGTAGGAAAGTACTTGCGATCCCAGCGAAACGACAATTTGATCAAAAGTGCACAAGATAGATATAATGAGTGTGTAGTTTATAATAATAACCTGGTACACTATGACGTAACAATTAGATCCCCATGTTGAAAATTAATGAAAAAGAACGAGTTTGTTCTGTAGGAAAGTTCTATGGTCAATCCAATGCGTATTGATAATACAATCTATTTCCCAGGTTGCAAATCTTATGGTGACAGTTTCACAAGATACTACGGTCTGGGTATCCATGGCAACAACGACGGAATCAGTACAACAAGCGTAAAGGAATGTCATCAACAGTGCATTAGAGAGAAAGCGTTTACCTGTATTACCTGCGAGACCCACAGTGTGAACAGGCGTTGCTTCTTGTCGACATCTGGGTACCTTGATGTAGAACCGAGAGAACGAAAGAAGGGGTCATTGTTTTGGAGTATTTCCACGAGGAATTGTGCATAGCAGCATGGCCGATTTCTAGATATAACTGGAGTCTACCACTGAGTGTAAGAGATTTCTAGATATTATTGGCCCATGACAGCAGCTAACTGAAATGTGCTGTAGGGCTGGTGATACTGACTGGTAATCGGGAATAGGAAAAATTTATTGATAATCAAACGTGAAATTGTGTGTAGATAATATCGTACATTAACTTTTGTGATGGAAAGATGTTTTAATTTTCTCACACAATATATACAATCAGGACTTAATTATGGTCTGTTTCTGAATTATGTTAAGGACGCTGATTTGTAAATCCATGCAAAAATATGTCACCACACACTAGTGATGTGAGATATATTAATTTCTTTCCGATATCTTTTGCAATTTTTGCTCAAAGTATTTTTTGTCGATAATCGATCGATATTTTTCGATCTCTATGATCTATATGGATAGCCAGCCCTACATAACAGACTGAAGGTAACTGACATGTGCTGTTAGATGAACTTCCCTTTAGAACGTACGAATTCTCCGCGTCACTTATTGTCATGTTTTCTTAAACACATATCATTCTGTTTAAGCCAACAAAATACCACGAAGCTTAATTTGCATAAATAGAACTTTTCCCAGTACAAGTACTTAGTCTCCTTATATTTCTGAACCCTGAAGATCCGAGTTAGGTTTGGACTTCAGCAACCCATGCTTGTCGTAAGAAGTAACTAACAGGATCGGGTGGTAAGGTTCACTGACTTGGTTGACACATGTCATCGTATCCCAATAGCGTAGATCGATGCTCATGCTGGTGATCACTGGATTGCCTCGTTCAGACTCAATTATCTACAGCCCTGTTGTGTCCACCAGTATATACACTGGTGTTTATGTTCCCAGTCTTTCAAAATTCGAGAATAGCGTATGATGATGAATAAAGATTAGGCTTGGACGGGTACAAATTTTCTACCTGGGTAGCCGACCCTACCCTACCAGGATACCCGTTATGTTAATACCTCACATCAAACTCACAAAGGCAATATATTCTTCAACTCGGAGGCTAGAATTGCGAATTGTTCAATATCATCACCATGTTTTATGTACAAACGTGATTGTAATTATGTGTATATCTTCAAAGACAATACGTAACTCACTCACTCACTCAAAGACAATACAACATGTTAACCATGAAATAATAACATGTTACATTGTTTAATCCATTAGCCACATGCTCATAACGGGTCCAAATCATTACCCACCCGACCAGATATCCGGGTAACTCATCCCAGCGCTAATAAAGATGATATAAATTAACTAGAAAAGGGTAAGAGTTCATCTTTACGAAAGAGATCACATTCAGCCTTGAAATCCGAATACAGTTGTAACTGAGTGAGTGAGTGAGTTTAGTTTCAAGCCGCTTTTAGCAATATTCCAGCAATACTATGGCGGGGGACACCAGAAATGGGCTTCACAAAGTGTACCCATGCTGGGAATCGAACCCGGGTCTTCGGTGTGAGTAGCAAACGACTTAACCTTCAGGCTACCCCACTTTGTGTTACATTTGACCACTGTCTTAATGGCATTGTGTATTTATGTGATTGTCTAGTTATTTTACTGTCCTTTTTCGACAGGTATTTATATTATATAAGGAATGGTGTTTTGACACGCTTGCTTTGCAGCGGTATAAGAATCTATACCGAAACGTCGCATCATCATATTATAAAGAAGTTTTCTTTCAGTAAGTATAATATATTTATATTGTCTAAGTTTGTTTCTTTAACGTACAGCTTTCACAGTCACAATATTGCTGAACTAAATTTCCTCTGTGTAAATTCTCTTCACTTGTGAAATAAACGTTGTTCGAGTCATCACTTCCGTTTTAAGATCTTGTTATTTTGCTATGTCTAAACATTAAAGGTTTGGCTGGTGACGTGACTTTTATTCATCTTAGGATAAAAGTGTTTAACAAACGATCATAGATTCAAATCGCTCTTATTGGTTTGAATTACAAGCGGGTAAGTGCAGTATTTGGAACACTGAACCAAATGTAGTGCGGTACGTGATGAGCGTTAACTTAGACCAACCCTACTTGTTCTCGGTGTTTCATTTAATGTGCATACACCTTTGTAATTCCAACCTAATAATAGCGATTTGAAACTTGATCGTTTGTTAAACAACTTTTATCCTAAGATGAATAAAATTTTGATATTTAAATGTTCAGTTGGCAAGGTAAAATTATGAGGATTTGCAATCTTAATTTCACTTTATTCGATTTACTTTCTTGTTTAAAGTGAAGTTTATCGGTACGTTTTCACTGCAAACAGACTATAGGCTACATATTTGCCAAAACATACAGTCTAGACTGATAGAAAGTGATGTACTCTAAAGGGGTCACTCTAAAGTTGTAGAAGGCAATTCAGAACATTTAACATCACCTACACACACACACACACACAAACACAAACAAAAACAAACACACACACGCACACGCACGCACACACACACACACACACACACAAACACCAACTAAAACCACTAAAGACGTTGTTAGACAATAAATTAAAATATAAGTGCATGCAAGCAATGACAGTGATGATACAGAAGCGTCGGAAAATCTCTCTTCAACACTGCACAACTCCGATAACGCTAAGCAGAACAATGAACTGTTGTACTAAATGCTGTTGCTGTAGCTACTAGACCTACAGGTCTTTTCGTTCTCTCGTCAAACCCATGAAATTGATGAAATGAGTCTTGAAATTAATCGAGAAACAATTTTGGTGTCTTTGGTAAGTCACACCATTAAGTCAGAAGTTGGGAAATTTAAAGAACAATTTAAAAGATACTTTGACAGGGTACAGGGGACAAATGATAACATAGAATAGTCCTATGCAGTAATAGTTAAGAAACAAGGGACTGTGAAAGAAAGTAATGTCGAAGCACAGCAATTTTGATGAAGAATGTTGAAGCTGTAATTCACATGACACTTGATTCACAAGATGCGAAAGTTATCAAATGCAGCAGGAACTCTCACTCTAGAGGTGACAACCCTGGAGATATCAAGTGTGATTTGAAAAATGAGGAGCAAACGGTCAAAGTTCAGAAAGAAAACATAAACTGAAAGCCACAAAAGGTATGAGCAAGGTCTACATTGACTCCTTCAAAACTGAAGAAGAATTGATGATAGAAGGTAATATACGACTGATGTTGAAAACATTAGACAGAACGAGAATCATCATCAGAAATGGACAGCTTAGAACAGCAAGTGAGTACACACAGTTAAAACAGTGTTAGGGCCTTCAGCTTGGTATGGAACGCTGGAGATTTCAAGAAAAAAATACAATTTTCAAGAACAATTTCAATTTTCAATGTAATGTTATTGATATTTTACACTGTGATTTTATGAGATTGTGTGACACATTTTTGCTTAAAGAAGAAACAATAGACATTGAAAACTACAAATGGTTTGGACAAAACAGATCAAGTCTATATAAAAAAGGCCTAAAGAGAATCTGGAGGAACTGGAGTCCCAGTTGAAGACTACTTAGTAGATAAATTGGACGATTTTAATAATGAAGGATTCCTATGTATACGAAAATAAACTGTAAAGAGAAAGATGATGTACGTCTGTGTATTTGTGTGTGTGTGGTGCTATCTCTCACCGAGTGGAAATAGTAGAATGATTGACAGTGAATTTTTCTTTACTGAACTTCAGTAGCAATTCTACATCAAAATAAGGGCTTAACATATCACTGTGGAGATTTTAGTGCACGATGCGGTCACCCGCAGGATATACTTGAAGGTGTTGATGAAATACAACTGAGACAAGTGGTAGACAGAGTTCGATTGGGCAGTAAAGACCCGGGTTCGATTCTCCACATGGGTACAATGTATGAAGACCTTTTCTGGTGTGGCTGGCCGTGATATTGCTGGAATACTGCTAAAAGCACCGTAAAACTAAACTCACTAACTTGCAGCTAGAACGTGAAAGTAACACCACAAATGCAAACCATCACTCAACCCAGCAGCCAAAATTAAAGGAGCAGCTCTGTAATGTTAGGAAGCAGTTTGATAAACTTCACAGACGATACAAGAAAAATGTATCAAAAGACTAACTCACTGAATCATTAACAAACCCATCCATATTTTGGAAAGACTTAAGAAAATTAAGAATACAGAAATGAACGAAATGAAGTGAACCTTGATCACAATGAAATCAGCACAGACCATGCACAGGTAATGAAGAAATGGAAGAATGACTTCAGTGATCTGTAAAATCCCTGCATAGACAACCATCTTACAACTTTTCAGAATGGTTTTCGCAAGGAAAATCATGCCAGAAACACCTAAAACACGCACCAAAATCTTACACAACCGAAAGAGGTCAAAACTATCTAATTATGTATGTGTTGTGGACATGCTAAAGCCTTTGATTCTATACAAAGAAATATGTTACTGTATAAACTGCAACACCAAGTTGAACTTCAGGGATATATTAGAGATTAATTCAATCTCTGATATGCAATGTTCTGTCAAAGTGAATACTGACAAAACTGACTGGTTTGTTGTGACTGTTGGGGTCAAGCAAGGCTTTTGTTTGACACCCACCCTATTTTCAATGTATATAAATGACTTAGCGGATACATTAACTGCAGTGCAGAACAGACATTGACTCTATAAGCATTTCATTCCTGTTATGTGCTGATGGCATTGTCCACATTGCGCCCAATGAAGAAAAGTTACAAAAGCTACTAGATTGTCTATCAGTGGTCTAACAAGTGAGTGAGTTTAGTTATACGCCACACTCAGCAATATTCCAGCTATATAGCGGCGGTCTGTAAGTAATCGATTCTGGGCCAGGGAATCCAATGATCAACAGCATGAGCATTGATCTGCGCAATTTCGAAACGATGACAAGTGTGAACCAAGACAGCGATCCCCGTTAGTCGCTACTTACGACAAGCATGGGTTACTAAAGATCAATATTCTAACCCGGACCTTCGCAGATAGGCCTAACAAGTGCAACTTAACAGTGAACAAAACC